CTAATAAACATTGCTGGACTGAATTTACATGGTCTCTTGGAGTTCCTTGGGCTAGGCTTGATATTCCCCATCAGCTCACAGCCCAGCCCAAGGAATGTTTACAAGGAAATTGTAACCTAGAGAAACATCAACCTTCCATCTCTTATCAGCGAATGACCTCAACATTCTATCTCCTTAACAAGGGGCTTCTCCAGCTCTGCTGTCCTCCTGAGAGGTCCATTTTGCCTAACGGTAGAACTAACCCCATGTACGGGGACAAGGACCTGCCCAGTGTCATGGCCCAGGACTCAGATTCTGACTCTGAAGAAGCTGCTCCAGTTGAACCTGTGGAGCATCAGCTTCAGGAGACCCCAAGCCAGGATTCACCTGAAGCTGATCAAACATGGGCATCTGCAGAACAGGTGGAGCAGTCAGATGATGAGGCACACCCCCCTTTGTAGCCCTCAACTTCTAAAAAAATCTACTTTTCCAGTGTTTGGGATCCCTCTTTCTTGTAAAGCAGACACCCAATGATTGCTGTAATAAACATGGTTCTTCTCCTCAGCATTGTGCTCCTTACTTTGGCAACATTCCACAACGTGTCATTTCTCTCTTGACTGATGTTTCTTACAAAGAGGGAAAAGGTTAAGGGTATCATTGCTGCTATATATAAGGTAGAGATAATTACAAAATCTCAGGTGTCACTAAAAGAGATTTTGGCTGTTGTGAGGACTTGATTTCTTGCAATGAATCTCATATTCTTCACATGAATCACATTCCTCCCTAGAGGAACCTAACCTCTCTACTCTTGAACATTTCATTTTCTTAAAACATCTAATTGCTCAAAATCAACAGCCTGCAAATATCTATATCTATATCTATATCTATATCTATATCTATATCTATATCTATATCTATATCTATATCTATATCTATCTATCTATATATATATATCTTCCTTTTAAGCATGAATGATGTGCTTTCTAATTTTTCTTGAGCACTTGGGATTAATTACTACTTGCTAGCAGAACAAAATGTATTGACGTGGATGAATTCCAATTTTCAAATTATTAAAGGAGTTTGAAATGTAAGAATTTTTCAAAGAAGCGTTTAAATGTTCATTAGAACAAGACAGCTACTGCCTTATTCTTTTTTATGTATAAATATTTCAAGCATTTCTCATCAGAGTCTCAGTCTAAGACTTTTACTGCAGTGCATGTGTGATCTATATTATTTGAACTGGTAGCTTTTGGCAACCCCTGGCCAACCTTGGGTGATCTTGAAAA